GCCAGTTCAAAATTCTGGTTGCTTGTTGTAATGAATGTGACTTTTTTTCACCGGTTTCCATGTGCGCCCAAGGGCCAACAGACACACAGATGAAATGGGCTAAACCGCCAAGGTTCAGCACTCTATCCAAAAAAATTAATTGTTTGTCGTTGTTCGTCTGAATTTTGTCCTCTTCTACTATGACTTTAACACTACCCCATCAAACTGTCATCATATCCTCATTGTCAACGATATTTTGGGTGCAACGTATCTCTAACTATTTGATTTCCTTTCAGCTATTTACCCATTTGTATAATATGGTTCATCATGCAGCTTCAATGCTTAACTCACCATTGAAAACCATGGAAGCACTGTACAGCTGTTTCATCCTTGTTGGGAATCATCAGCATTGCATATCCACCGAGTCACCACGGGGACTCGAACTCGGGGTGAACGATTGTGAATCGAACACCTCAACCACAAGGCTATCCGGGCTGGATCCTAAGGGTTTGTTCAACATCTACACTACATGATATAACACCCTTTCGTCACTGGCTTTGAACGGTAACAACCCGCTTCCCACACACCGATCGTCTCCTTTGATCGAGGACTTCTTTATACGGGCCTAAGTACAACGAAGGCATTCCGTTATGAACAACCTACAGAGGTTGGTTACTACTTGCCCATTCTTGACTGGCTGGCCGCAAGTCGAGCACATAATTACGGCTCCAAACTTTCATGCGTAAACCATTTCCGTGCACACAAATGATAACATTCTGTTATACATCCACGCCATAAAAGGATTCAATGTTTACCTCAGATATATACACCTGGTAAGTATGCTACAACATATTCCAGGATAACGGAAAAACCATCAAATGGCAAAATGTAACATAAGATCGGCGGAAAAATACTCTCCGAAGCAAATTCATGTGTACCCGGTATCACCCTATCCGCCCGTGTGTGTATCGATGCAACCATTTCATAACAGAAAACTGTTACTGCCTCTACTATGGACAAATGAAGAATTCTGGGCTTAGTTACTGCAATCATGTGAACTTACGTTGTCCGTACAACTGAAGTGTAGAGTAATGCTTTTTAGAGAAATAAACAGATTTTACATTAAAATCAAGGTTTAAGAATGTCTTTCTCGTTGACGGATTTATGGAGAGTTGAGAGTTATACTTCTGTTGTGTGAAAGTTACAGTGATCATATGAATTGAATACAACAGAAGTACTGACTATGAAATCAAAATTTAAAAGTTCATTTTTATTAGTCGCCACCGCACGAGTCACTGGCTGTCCCAAACAACATAGCGCACCCAGTAATTCACATGGTAAACACGAAAGTCCTGAATATCCACTAACAGTGTATAATGATTCCAGTGGCCCTCCGTGAACTGCCTGAAGGGTCTACCATATTCACACACATATACGCGGGTGCAATATACGATAATTGTCAAAACAGAAGGGCCTACACGCTTTCTTCATCGGAGCATCAGGTAACGTTTTCTATCGGTGTGTAGGTATGTGACCCAATAGCGGTGTTCCTTCCCGATAGGTTTCAATGGTATTGGGAGTACACTCTGAGTAAGGGTACTGTGGAACTTCGATCACTTTAAATAAATGACAGAGTTTCACATAAATCTGTCTGAATGTGATAAAAGGAAGTTACACTTCATGAACAGTCATAATAGAACTGAACGAAACGATTCTCTAGCATGAAGTCCAACCGTCCTTTTCATCTGTAACGGGCTGTAAATTTCCGGAGTAGCATGTGTTTTGTACAGAATCCGTGAGGATCACTGTTTCCGTGTAAATCCAGTATCAATTCTAGTATGTAAAACTTTGGTATATTTTGGTCCATTTTTATCTGCAGTACACATTTTAAACATAATTTTCTCTACACAATTAAAGACGAACTTACTCAGGGAAATGATATCCAATCCAACAGTGGTAGACGCGTCGCAACATACAACTGAAACGAACAAACCTAATTAGCTCTGAGAGATTTCCTTCTTCTATGTAAGTAAAAACCCAACCAATACTCAGCCAAGAGTTCATCTCGGAAGTTTCGATAACACCGGTGGATCATCAAACCTCCAATCACTGGATCTCAGGGCGATCACATGAACTATTAGAGAGAATCCGGCTTACCACTGATGGTATCGAAAACCCTAGTCGGCTTACTCATCTGATAACAAACCTAGAAATGAGCCTTCTTAGAGTGCGTGAATTTTGATGTTAAAAAATGGTAGCATAAGTGGGGAAAAACTGCTATCACTTGCAACTGCCGGAAGCTGCTTTGTCTCATCCGTTCCAAGGACAACAAGAAGGTTGGGTTGGTTAAGGCAATCTGTCAGGAGAGTAGCTAGACAATCATCAAGCTTGTGTTTCTTAATAATTCCCCGGTGAACAATTATAAGAAATGTTCCAGCTAGTCTTTAGCGCCAGTTTTTCAAAAAGTTGATTTATTCAACCAGCTAAAGCTGCTTGAGCGGTTTTCAGTGTCTCACTCACTAATATCTTCCGTGAACTTCAGACTCTTAAGCCGATATCAGCCACTTTGAGCACTTGAGCCTTCATGATTATCCGTAAGTGGTATCAAGCACACGAATTAATGATCAACGAAATGCAGCCATGTTCGTCGTCGTCACATCTGCGTTTATGGCATTTACATTCTCCATCAAACAGCTAGGCTGCACCACGTGAAGCAGAACAACGTTGTATTTTGGGAGATCCGAGGGGCGTTGGACCATGCTGATGTGACAATTCAGCTCCAGACAAGGAGTGCCTGATAAGTGAACCAGGATCATCCAAGTGATTTATCAACAGAAGTCTTACCTATAGTGTTCATACGATTCATTGTTACATTCATTTTCACTTTTGACTAATGTGCGCCATGTGGTTCAGTCTAAAGGTTCAAGTTAAACTTTGCAACGGACAACATTCCAAGGAAAGCACGAGAAAATCGGGTGAAGAAAAACGTTGTGTTATCGCCTGGTGGCAGACTTTTAGAAATACAATACGCACACAATATTAAGCAGGTTCGTAACGACTTTTTTGCGGCATTGTACGTTCCGCGCACTCGGGTGTTTCCATCCTGTGGTTTGGAATATACCTTCGACCTTCAGTTTCCAAAGGACTAACATAAAATCGGCAGAGATCCCTTCCCGCATCCTCTTCTGACAGCGAGAGATTAGAGAGAGTCAAAATGTTTGCCCGAGTGGCAGCTGGTATGAATAGTGTTGTGATGGCTGGGTATGGGGTAAAAATTCAACCAGTAAGAGCTGAAGAGACACTCCGCAACCTTCCTCTTTCGTCCTTTCAAAAAGCTAAAATTGCAGTGTTGATTTATGCCAAATCCTACTGTGTTGCCATTTACCGGAACAAATTTAGGGAATGGGTAACAGCAGACTTTCTGTCCTTAGTCACTTCTGCTCGGGGAGCATATAGTGAGCTTGAGAAAAAATTCAGCTCAGCATCTGCTCACTTCATTTACCGGTTCTCTGATCGAAACATGTTGCGTCCTCAGCTAGGGCCTCATTATCAGTCCAGTGGACTTGCATGGAAACCTTACTCGACGTGGCTCAAAGACGTATTCAGTGACGGTTGTGTTCGTGACATTTGTTACTCAGTGATTCATCACACTGTGAATTTGATATTTTGTTCATGTTCTTCATGGGAGCACACTTCTTTATTACGTACTGATACATTGATGATTACAAAAATAAATGAGTGAATGTAGATTCATTGAAGTCTTCCATATTCAAGAGACCAAAGTGAATAAAAGAGATTCAACTGGAAATGGGTCAGTGACAATCACTGCCCCAATGGGTGACATACCGCTGATCCGATACTACAGAAGTGGCCATTCGACTCGGGTTTTCTATACAACTCCCTTTATTCACAATGAACGAGTTTATGTCGGTTTACATACAACTAACAGCCCACTCGATTTGCTTGGACAGCTGTGTCCGATCCCTATGTGGTTAAAAAAGCACCTCCGAGAATATAATTGGTAAATTCCGGTGTCGTTCACCGTTGTCTTAAGCGGATAATGCCACGTAATTCTTCTCGCGAAAATTAGGAGAAAGCCAAAACCCAGCTACTGCTACTGTTCCCAGTAGTATTATTGGAAATTCAAATAATCAGGGCTGTACCGGTTCCCAAAGAGCACACTATACATAACCACGTTACCTACCAAAACTCACCGAGGGAATGAGCTCGCGCGAAAGTTCACCGGCTAATTTGTAATGAGCTAGATGGAGCTATTCCTCAGTTACGTTTAGAAGTCGCTGATTCAAATAGGATTGATGTGGCCATGGGCATTATCGAAAAACGAAGCCGAATCACAGTATCAGAAATAGGAGTGCATTCTCTGGTGAGGTGCCAAGTATTAAATGCAACTCAAGCCCGTCAAATCTACACTTTAAGAGTAAACTGACAGGAATCCTAAAGTCCACTCAATCGAGTGAGATTTGGACAGTTCCCGTCTCCAGCCTTATCCTACCTGATTGGTGTATCGCGTATTCCTTATATCCCCCAAGCGTGTGCTGGAGACGCGAGCAAAAACACCAAGTCATTTCTCCAATTGAACGAGAGCTGTTCTTCTTTATTCGGTCACTGTTCGCTTTTTAAATATCTTCTGCCTTCCTCGAAATTGCTCCAGAAGTTTTTCATCTTAGATACTCAAAGCTATATGAATAATACACATTTCACACCTTAATTTACCACTTCAGCAAAGAACGGTTTTGTCAAACAGACTACTGAAATAGCACCCAGTAGGTGTATCCGTGGTGAGGAACTGAAATTTTACTCACGATCACAGAATGGGCATCGAACTCATACCGCCTCGTCTGAGATTTTGTGCAATCAACAAATAAATGGTTCCGAAATGAGTTCCATTTGCAAGAAAATAAGTGTCAACTGCAGGAGTTAAAAAAATTCGATTGCCAAATCCAAACGGTGCAAGGACCGCAGAATAAACGAAATATAATACACGACTCGGGCTGGAAATAATGCATGATATGTAAGTAAAAATGATAGGTTAATTTTCAAAATCACAAGATTTACGTTAGCTGGAAAACGATATTCGTTTTGAGGTTGCTAACATCGGATATGTCGTATACTGACGAAACTCATGAGGGTCTTGTAACCAAATTTTGTGCCTAAATCACCACCAAATTATATTATACATAAGATAACTAGGAAGTATTAGTGAAGCTCCAGGATACTAGTTTCTTTTGTCTACCTGGATATGGTTAAAATGTAAACTCGTAATTCAGAAAAAAATGCGATTCACTCGGACTCAGATCAATAATTATGGAGGGTGACCTTTTTAGTATTTGGTTAAGTACTTTGTTCGATGATTTTCTTTACACAAATGACTTCCTCCTGACACTTCGACGACGAGGCACTCGCTTGTGAAACAAACCAGTCACTAAAATAATCGATTTCTTGACTTTAATCCCCTGATGAAATAAGTGTGTGTCCTCTCGAGCTGGGCGGTTATTGTCGGATTCTAATCAACAAATACTAGGCACATTCCAATTTACCCTAACATTCTCTGCAAAAGGTAGCAAGAGTGCCCGGAGAAATTCATATTGCTGAATTAGAGGCAGAGATTTACGGCAATGTGTTGTGACTATATTGAGCAGAATGTACTCTGATTTGTTCGATATTCCGGGTTTCCTGGCTCTGAAATGCTATCTCGTGTGCGTTCTTATGTCAACTATCTGATATTTGGTGCTCATATTCATGTGAAAACACTGGACAAAATCTGCTACAGAAAATCGTACTCAATAAGCCTTCGCGATTCGAAAGTAGTCTTCTTTATGAAGGTATCGAGAACCTACAGTTGTTTTTCCTTATCAATTGTTATTGCGATTGCAATACAAGCAATCGACAAGCACAACTGAAAAGCCTAGAAGTTGATGCAAATAGGGAATTTCCTTCTGGTAAACCAATCCATCGTAGAAAAGAATCATCAGTGAACCGTTCATCCCATCATTTTTCCATTTATGAAAGAATATATTAGGATCTTCTCTTGTAGATATCACCATAAAAGCTATATTGACGGAAATGCTTCTACCGACTTGTTTATTTAGTAAACTTTTCGAAAAATACCTTTCGATTATTTTTAGTCCTTTTTATGACTGCAACTCGAAGCACTTATTGATTACATGCTTGAACCTGAGTGCAGTGGACGGTGTTAATACCTCATAGTCAGGGGGGCCTACTGCACTTTTGGGGATAACCGGTAATCGAACCCTGAGACTCGGAATGGTGAAGACTCAAGGAAGGTCCCAGTAGATCAGGTATGATAACGATCCAGACGACAGTGGATTTCAGTCTACCACCAAATTAACCAGTGACGGCGGGGATTCGAACCTCGGGAGTCCGAGGTGGTAAGCAAACGTCCTAAACCACTCGACCACTACCGGGATTTGGCAATTCTTTGCTCACGTTGTTGGAGGCATTTAACTTTGCCAACAAAGGCCACACATATTTAGCTATCCATAGACAGCCAGAAACCAACATAAATGAGAGATAACTCGTTGGTGGAAATATTTTGCAGTACAGTCCCTTTAACGCTCCCAATATCGTTACTGTTGGCATTCTATTTCCATGGGAAAATCTTTCAATGTCTTACTGCAAATGTCAGTGAGAACGGAGAAATACCAAAGAACAGGCAATCTCTTGAATTTGTAATTGCAACTGACCATCTACGTAACCGTGTCACTCATCTACCCCAACATCTAGTGATAAATTACATCGTTTTAATAACATTTGCTATTATCCTGTCCACGTTATTTTTCATAACACTTCCCTCTTGCAACTTTTCCAGCATTTTTCGCATGAACTATTTTCGTGTTTACTCATATTATTCTTAAAGACTACTTAAAATCTTGAAGTGATCATTTGTGTTCTATCATTGATATGTCAGCGATGAGAGTATTAAGAGCTTTGACTGGTCACAGTCAGTACCCACACAAAATGCCGATAATAATCAGTGAATGGCAATATTTACCAAAATCAGACCAATGTACCAATGAAGGAGTTTCGAGAACTCAGGCTTAGACTACGCCAGCGAATGCTATTTTTATCATAACTGCTAGGGCAAAAGCAAACTTTTGGATTTTGTGTACCTTTTCCATCAACAAACATCATCTGAAAGGGTTTTTTCTTCACCAGAAAGCCCTGTGACAATGTTCAATAATAGCACTCTATATTCTTCATCGCATTTCCATTTGACATGACGAGTCATAGGATGCAGTAAATAATTTTTTCTCCTATTTCACAATGAGACAACGATAAATGTCCATTAACTTTGGAACCATACTGGAATGTTTGCATATTTTGTCAACATACATTCCGCTCATGGAAAAGATTATACGTAACAGGCGAAAGAATTTGTGCGACAAAATCTATCGACCGATTCAATTGATATAACGGCAAAACACCACCGCCCCCTCGTGCATAGGTGCATACTCAGACTCGGTGGCCCACATTACCATGTATTTCAATGCTGTTCACGTGCAAAACAACAAATCAACACAGTTCTACATACCATCACACACATACCAACATGCGTGCAGATAGATATCACTCTAGCTCTCAAACATATTCGTGAGTTCAGACAATACAAAATCTTTACACAGTATCGCTATGAAGTTCCAGATCTGAATTGTTCACATCATTATGCGCACAGGTAATCGATACGACTAAGATAATTTTATTTATCTGTGACAGTGGACTTTGCATGAAGTGTCTGGTCCAATCATACCACACACGTTTGCATTACTGTTGATGAGAGCGAACACAACCGAAACTGGACACATGAGTAGGTTCATCAAAACAGATAGAAGACATAAATTGCGTGATGCAAGCATTTCTTTAAATCTTCACAGTCGCGTACGTAAAACATGCGATTTCGTGTTCAAATGGAGCATAGAGCAAAACATGAGTAGGTGTTTCTGAGTTTGAATGCAATCTTTTATTTTTATCAGGAGGGGGATTTCCCGTTCTTATTTCACAAAAGATCTGCATTTGTCTGGAAATTTGATACAGGATTTAGTCGATTTTTGTTAGATGACTCACTAACAAAGCGGCCCTCAAGATTGTTGAGGTTTTCTCTCAAAATATGCTCACCTAAATGAACAAACATTTGAATTGTCGTCAATGCTAGTAGCCAAACGGGTTGAATATATATGTAGGCTGATACGTCTGTTGTCGCAAATAGAACATTTCACGTTGTCTGTGCAGTCGGATACTTGTATTGTCCAGTTTATTATATTACATCGAATCTGTGGAGAATACGTTGAATTCCTCGAATAAATTACACCAACTAGTTTCTCCGCTCAGGCAATGAAATTAAATGCTCCGACTGGATATTTGAACTAAAACGATATATCTGAGCTTGGGCAACTTGTTGTGACTGCAAAATAAAATGAATGTTGTTGAATTTATATTTAGTTGCATTTCTTTCTTGGTAATAGCCACGCTCCAACAAGCCTCGAACAATCTACGCGCACCTATTCATCCACTAACCTAGCTGAAAATTCACCCTTCATTCAGTACACGCAATGTTTATCTAATTTACCGTAAATGTAAAAATACTGTATTCCTCTGTTTATCGCTCCCGTCCTGGTCTTTGCTCAAGATATTTTGTTATCTCCCGTTCCTGAAATTATTCCACTGTTGATTCTGTCTTCATACGATGTGCGCAGAGGCTGTATCCTTAAGTTGGCAAATTGGAGAATTCATCTCCGAATTCCGAATTCGAACTTCCTTCTTTAATAAATAATCCTGCGCAACGCAGTGTACTATGAACACTGTTTTGGGGTTCACGTTTTTATTGACAAACGACGACTGTTCTTGATAAATTTCAAGCCTTCATAGCTCCTTCTGCTTTTCGGATAAAATAACGGGCAAAGACCAGAACAAAACTGTTCCAAACCCAAGACGGATTGGGACCATACACGGCACTACTAAGCTCAAGTCGAAATCTGCGGCGATCTACCGCTGTCGGGTGGGGTAACGGGACGTATCCAACGCCGGACCATTATTTCAGTCCAGAGGCCAATATATCCGAATTTGATGCAGAAAGACACAAATCGGCATACCGTTGGGGCAATTCAAATAAACAGTCTCTATGATATTTTTCCTGTAAAGAACAGAAGTACAAAAACGAGGATATTGTCCACTAAAATGTTAATTATTTTGACGTGGTTGAGGACAAAAGATGAGAATAAATATTTAATTGGTAACAGCATATCCAACAGATAGAGAGAACAATACATAATTGCGAATTTTGATTCCTAAGCAGTATGAGCGACATGCATCTGGGAGGTAGAAAGATATTCAACAAAATAATACGGACACTTACACGATGATAATTCGCGCTATTCACATTCAGCAGAGCTTTCCGCTCACAACTATGCATCCGGTTGTTTAAATTCACCCAAAACAGTCACATCAATGAACAGTCTCGGTTTTCGTCAACTGAAGTATTTTCTCTGCAGAAAATTCCTATGTGAATCCCGGAATAAGCGGAGGAAGTCGCATATGCTTCGATAACGAGTGGAAGGAAAGCTTTTTGAAAAAAAATGAAGCAAAAGTTATGTCACCTCGTATATAAAAACAATGCAGAAACCCAAGCCTGACAAGCTTCCAATCTTCGTTCGTGAAAAGCATTACTACACAAGACAGATTTATCAGCGTTGAAAATATCGCATTTCTGCAGTGTTATTTCAGACTTTTCAAGTATTTTGAAAGGCGCCATTGATTTTGCCATGGCTTTCAACTTTGCTTACCACATATTCAAAATATGGAAATCATATCTACTTAGTAGGATCATTATTTACATAAATCTCTTCACTAGCTGAATAGAACTTAAGAAGCTTAGAATTCTCACTTACCTAAAGTGGCAATGAAGCTCATGAGCTTTTTATAAGTTGCAGTTTATTGTCGATCCTTGAATCCTGGACATGAACTGTACTTACCAAAGGCACGTCAAGAATATTCATTGCACTAGTCACGTGAGCGAGCTGGAAAACATCCATGGGACAGACGACGCGTTTCATCCCTTACAAGGGCTCCAGCCGACTGTCCGAAAATTTGGTCCGCGCAAATTTCAACCCGTGTGGCCTCATCCAGCTTGAGCAGGGCACGGTCCAGAGTGACAGTCACGTATAACAATCACAAATGTCCATAGGGTTTCGCAATGTAAATTGCTTTGCCTATAATCAGTAGAAGCGTAAATCTGCTCTAACTTCAATTAAATTTGAATAACTGTCTGTTTTAATGATTTGTCTTTTACGGTTTTATACACATGCCAATACGAACTACAGATTGGTTTCTATTCGATCGCAATGCCACTCGTGTCGCCTTGCAAAATACAAAATATAATCAAGTACCAGACAAATGATTTTGGCACATTTATGCCTCATCCACTATGAACGAGGAACTTTTACTAAACTTGCTAAATGACGAATGATACTTAAACCTGCAAAAATTTGCATAATTGACTACCAGATAGGATGCAGTTAACATTAGTTGATTCACGTGTCTAGAAATCAACTTCTGTAAATCTGCCTTTTGTATATGCATGTCTTTTACTGTCTACCTCTCTCATCATGGTTGTTATTCTCCTAATCGTTAGCAGCAGAACACCCAATCGTTGCACTGAATTTATTTTTAGGGATGCCAATAAAACCCGACAACAGCTGGTGAGTAGGTCTCGAGCCCTCAAGCGAGAAAGTAGTTGAATGTGCAAGCAAGTAAAAGATCTGAGCTAAGTGTGCTTTCACGATTAGCAAATAACACTAGTCGGCACATTTCCAGATCACTGAGTCAGTACTATCCATGCTAAATCATGAATGAACATCAATCTCGAGCAGACTTGGGTCCATGGGCAAGAGAGATATTGGTTGTACGCGTAGTATGCGTGACTTTACTTTGCACTGGCTATAATCAGCGGAAGCTTAAATGTGCTCTAGCCTCTATTAAATTTGGATAATTATTTGTGTGCTTTAGGCGGCATCTCGTCAGCTAGGCCTTGACAGATTTTACGCAATTCTTCCTTGCGTGGTGTCCTACTTTTATTCCATACACAGCAGCATTAGGAACGGCTGGAAACATTTATTTTCTATTTCACATTAGAAGGCGAAGAGTAGTGTCATGAAAATCAAATTTGCCAGCCAGTCGGTACCATATGGGATTAATTTCGGTGAAAGTTTCAGATCATGACAAGAGTAAAGTTATTTTACAGTTGGACTCCTCGAATCAACCCGGTATTTGTAGTAGAATGTGCGTGCATTCCAATCACTGGCAGATTAGTATCACTTATTGATTGCTTATCAGCATACCTTATATATAAGTGCCATGCATTTGGTCATCCCTCAGCTTGGCAACATCATGTTGATCATTTCGTTTACCCTCGTTATTGTCAGCTTCACGATAGTAACTGTGGATGGTACAGGTACAACAACAAGTGAGTTTGTTTTCATTCCCAGACAGAATTTACACAAGGAAATCAGTTCAGCCACTTAGAATGGTAAATCTCTTATGCAATACTGCTTTGATTCCACAGTTTCAGGTGAAGTAGACATACTGAGTGAGTGTTTAAACGACATCTGAAATAACTGATTCACTTCTTGATTGGATATCATATTCGTGTTTTGTTGCATCAAGAATATTGCTGTTTCATGTTTGAAAACGCAGCACACACCGATTTCAAATCAGTACTCATTCACGCAGCGAACAAACACGAAATGACTTAACTACTTGTGTCTGTCTAAGAATTTATTCAATAAAATTGAAAAATGCTCTCATCCCTCGTTTTCAATTGCCAATCGGATCCATTCAAACACAAGAATTTGAAATAAACTCTATAAATCCGCGATCAAACATGAGCTTGGGAGTGAACATCAGATCTCTGAGGACTGCTATTCGAAATCCTGAAGGGAGTTCTATTTGTCAAGTCGTTAGTGTTTCTTTTGCTATGCGGTTTATCCCTAACTATCTGCTTCAGGTTACACTTTGTATACGGGGAATGAGTTATAGATTGGCCAATAACTACTTGGGTTGTGAGCCAGATTTACAAAACAGTTGGAACGGAACCTATCACTTGTACTTTTTCTCCGTTAATATCAGTCGGACGATGAGCAATGAGTGTAAACAACGAGAAGTAGCAGAGTTGAATGCAGCGTTTCACAAATATCTGGCAATTTCAAACGTGGAACGGTTCAACTTTATGAAGGTTACAGGTATCTTCAGTTCATGATATCAGGAATCAGTTTTATTTAGTTCAACACGTCCAACTTACGTCTACATGTCAAATTGTTACTCGACTATTCAAAATAAATCTGTTAGCCATATTTCATTTAAGTTCAGCAATAGGAACTGAGTATGGAAAAACAATATGACTTCCTTCCATTATATTTTATGGTTATTAGCTAACAATATATAGATGAAAATACATTACAATTATGACTTCTCATCACGTAACAACTGATTCTTGTTTCCTACATTTGAACACCAGGAGTTTCCATTGAAAGGAAAATCAGCCGTGAGTTGTGTTACCTCTGAATATGCGTATTATGATTTTACGTGGAACATTATCATTTCTTCACCACTCTTGTTCATGTGGTTTTCTTATAATTTATGATTTTCGCTCGATTTACGGGATAAAGTTTGGTTTACTACTTACGAATATCGCTCAAGTCCATCATCAGACGGATGCTTACCTGAATATTTCCTTGAGTGGTTCAAGACTCAGAAAGAGGTACGCAACTCTCTAATTTTTTTCAGTGAAAATCCAGTTCACGCTTTATTTTTCGATAAAACCATAAAAAACATATCCCAAGACAAACACACCTTTCTCTATTTTGTTACGAAAAACCCAGTTGCACACATGTTTCCATAGCGTGCCCAAGGAAATCGGAAAGAAAATAAATTTTATAACATACACGTTAGATTGTCCGCCAACGGAATATATAAAAGCAGTTTTATTATCTCCAAATAACGCGACGACCAATGAAATGGACTATATCGGGGAAAGCATTTTAAAATGTCAAACAAAACTAGTCCGTGGCACAATAATGTACGGTAGGTGATCTATCCAGATTTGGAATGTTTATTGGTTTGCATTTGTTCAGTGCTCTGTCGTCGTAGAGGCGCAGTGACACAAACTCATAAAATGCCAAACACTGATATGCAGACGAAAATGATCTCAACAATAGAAAACTCGTCACTCTCCGATCAATATGTCATTCTTCTATAGAGTGGAGTAAATATCACAAAAATATCGTCTCATGCAAATTAGGAGATTCCGGTACGTGGAAAAAAGGAGCTGATCATTCTTTGAAGCGAAGTTAGCTTCTCTTACGTTGCCATTTATTTTTTAAATTTTTCATTATTTGCCAGCAGGCGAAATTGCTAATAACACGGAAATAATTACAGTGGATACAAAGTCACTGACAATGACAGTTGAAGGTACAAATGGGATCCTTTCCTGAATTGGATACGTCATATTTTATAAGGTTATGCAACAAACAATTCTATCAAATTCAGGAAAGCCAGAATTATTATCCACTAACGGCAGGCAATGGCAAGTTCGGAAACGAAAACCTCAACTAGCTCCTTTTGATTGGGTTGTTAGTACAAAATGTGCGCTCGTCCCTCAAACAATGACTATTTATAGCGGAAAAGCAAGAAATCAAACGGAATTTCAATTGTGATACCATCGTCCATCTCGCACTGATGGTGTGACATGATTTTCATACACTGAATTCCCCGGAAGTCCGAAAAACCATTATTTGATGAGCATTCAGTTTAAACCTGTTCATACGAGCAACCACAATGTACTTATTAATCTATGGCCTGTGTTGTTAGCTTCTGATTTCAAGTTTTTGTATGCCTCCGCATTTCGGAGTCTATCCCACATCACGTTTTATTACAGAATTCAGGAAACCAACGAAACTTTTTGTATGTCTCGTTACCTGTTACAAAGACAGTCTATTCAGATTTAGTGATGGCGACGCATGTGTAACCTTTGAATTTTGTGCTCGCCTAATTCTCTGTGAAACCCCGCCAACAGCGAGCATTCTTTCATTCCTCCCCACAATAAGATCGGTCGAAACAACAAAACGTCACAACAGAATCATGTAGTCGTGGCATCACAAACAAAAGGAACCAAATTATCCCAATTTTAATCATTGGTTTTCTTATCTTTTATCATAAACACGAAATTCTTACCCTAATTCACTTATGACTATTCTCATGATATTATCTTTCATAGCCGATGTACCATAGGTGCGTGATGCAAAGCAATTCACTATACGTTCAACACCGAATTTTCCTGTATGTGTAGTAACGTTATTGCATGATAACATCTATAAAATGGTTCAATCGCTTTTCCATACTGTTAGGCGCACCTGAAAATCATAATTTTTGCTCCAAAATAAATCAAAGGTCACATCCGCTAAGCTAAATCTATTTACCATTGTTTGAGAGAGCTGAGAGTAATAAAAGATCGAACGTTTCTTCGACTCACTTCTTAAACTTCAAGTTCAGCATATCAGTGATAGATAGGTGTGCGTTAGCATATTTCAAAGTGCAATTTCTTCCATGGAACAACGTGTACTTCTACCGCTTGGCATTCAATCCATAAAACCCCATCGAGAAGCACACGATGAGGTCATTTCATAGTCGAGGCTTCGTATTAGGTCTCGGTTTCATGAATTAGATCCGATCGATTTGAAGTAAGTTGGGTTGGCAACCAACCTGAAAAACATCGCTCACGAATGGTATTTTAGTGAAAAAACGAGCAAACAAAATGAGTAGTATAGAGATGGAATGGCATTTCGTTTTAGGACTTTGCATGTCGCAGTTGTTTGCACCAAAAGCAACACTGCATCACTGGCCCATGGTTAAAAAGGATCAAACTTAATTTTTATGCCAGTTGTGAATGAACCGCAAGGCCCAATTAGGCGAACATCGATTAGCACGTTTGTCTACAGGAGAACATTCGCTGATACTAAGACTAAATATCAAGTAAAGGATTCATTTTTGCAGAAAGGCTTTGAATGCACCCACATCATTGTGCTATTCGCAACCAAATTGTCGAGTGCCCTCTCCCGCGGTTGACGTGGCTCCAAAGTTATCATCCATAGTTTCATAAAAACTGGTAGGTCTTTTACCGCGTGAACCATTCACTTCACCTTTGGTCTCTCAAATCACTAAACAATCTAAAAACAACAGTCGGTAGTATGACTGATGACAAACTGAGAAAAGTGAAATTTTTGTTTATACAGCACTTAACAGTCATGTCCCCATGAATGAGGCTTTTGTCGAAATTCGCTATGCGAACGCTTATCTCCTTTCCAAAATGTTTCGTAGCACATCAAAACATAAGAATGGAATATAAAACTCCATTGAGATTCATGTCAGTCGGATCAGTTATGTTGCGATCCGTTGACGTAAACATTTGTGTGATACCTTAGTCTGAAGTTCAGAAGTGCGACCTTGGCTAGTCGATAAATATGGCTTTTTGTTGTGCAGACATCATAGGCGATTTTTCACACTCAGAAATAAATCTGCCTTCAAGAAATAAGCCGAGAGGAGGCGAATATAACTGCTGAATACTATTTTGTTTAGCAGTTATGCAGAAAACGCGGTGATTATTATGTTTACTGCAAGAAAACTGAAATTCATATTAGCGCTAACCTGAATTTTATGTTCGAATGAGCTCGGACCAGCAAATAAACATTTTGTCTACCGCGCCGTTGAAAGACATTTTGTGAAAACCGGAAAATACCGATACTTCATTGAAAAGCAGAGAAACAACATTGTGCGAACCTGTCGAACGCTTGATACTAAGATTAAAATATGCTTTCTCTTTTGAGATTGACAGTAAGTTTATCACAATATTCATGTCAGAGTGGTCTTGTACCAAGACGAGCTGTGCAGAAATGAAAGAATCTGACTGATGTTAGCAAATAACACCCATAGATTTATAAGTGTTTGATCCGGGAGAAGATTTGTTTAGAAACATTTCATTCACCCTTTCAAACTAGTGTGAATAGACGTTAGATACGTTAGCCTTAGTTGTTCGAAAACCAGCACTGTACGAACAGCTGAAAGGAGAAAATATTGCGGCCGCGAAAATATCAGAATCATTTCGGACGTCGTTTTGCCCTCTGATTCGATTAGACTGTTCTGTAGTTAGAATGTGGGGGCTCAGGAATATTTCGGGCGCAAAAAGAAAATTTCCGAAGAAACCCATTTTCGCGACTTAGCACTCGCTAAACTCATTACGTCGGATAAGTTGGATTGCCAAATTCGATGAGATGTAACCGAAGATATGGTAAACAAAGTGCAAGTCACCGTGATAAGATGGAGAAAATTTCATGTCTATCAGACCAGAATCTATTCAGCGAAAACTGCCTAATTTTAGAGCGATTCATCAATTTGTGTTCCACAAGGGGCTGCATATCCTATACGAGTGAACTTATCTATCCATTTACTGAATAAGTTTACAGCATCAAGTGTTTACCTTTGATATAGCCGGTGGATTGTGGAGCCATCACGGATGCAAGTTTCAAAATCAAATGTCTTTGAAGATGACGTCGAATATCGCGCTGTCCATTTGCACATTACTAGGTCAGCAGCGCGACGGTTCTACCAATGTTCCGTAATGCATCCTGGTTTGGTAACCAGTGGGCCATTTGTAAAGATATATAGAGAGATGAACGGAAAATAAATCAAAAGATGTTTAAATAGACAACAAGAAACATGGTTAGACACAAAAATAGGAAGATTGTAGAGAGATGATTGAAAATATAGGTGAAAGATAGATATGGCCATATATATATATATATATATATATATATATATATATATATCTATATATATATATATATATATATATATATATATATATATATATATATATAGAAATAAAGATAGTGAGATATGAAGTTTTACCAAGAGGTAATAAGACAGAACATCGAAAGAGGGATATGCAGAGATACCTCAAAAACATAAATTTCAAAAGATAGGCGAAAAAAACAGAAAGATAGATCGAAAGAGAGACAGAGAAAAAGAAAGATTGATAGATAGATAGATAGAGTGGAAGAAAAATAGAAAGAAAGAAAGATAAAGAAATAGACAGATAGAAAGAGAGATATACAGATATAAATAGAGGGAGACAGAGAGATAGATATAGAGATAGAGAGTAAGTTAGACAGATAGATCGACAGATAGGTAGAGAGTGAGAAACAGAAAGATAGAAAGATAGATGGATCGAGAGAAAGATGAAGCGACAGAGAGATAAAAAGATAGAGAGATAGATAGAGAGGCATAAAAATAAACCAAGATATAGATAGATAGAGAGATGAACATTGAGACCGCAGAAAAATTGTGTGGTATATAGACAGAGAGATGGATAGAGATAGATAGATAGATAGATAGATAGATAGATAGATAGATAGATAGATAGATAGATAGATAGATAGATAGATAGATAGATAGATAGATAGATAGATAGATAGATAGATAGATAGATAAAAAGATAGATAGATAGATAAATAGAAATAAAGAAAGATAGATATATATATAGATAGATAGATAGATAGATAGATAGATAGATAGATAGATAGATAGATAGATAGCTAAAGAGATAAATATATAGATAGATAGATAGTTAGATATGAAATAGTTAGATAGAAAAATAGCAGATAGATATGTACATAAATACACTGACAGACAGATGGATGGATAGATAGATAGATAGATAGATAGATAAATAGATAGATAAATAGATAGATAGATAGATAAATAGAAAGAAATAAAGAGAGATCGAAAGATAGATAGATAGATAGATGGATAGATAGATAGATAGATACATAGATAGATAGATAGATAGATAGATAGATAGATAGATAGATAGATAGATAGATAGATAGATAGATAGATAGATAGATAGATAGATAGATAGATAGATAGATAGATAGATAGATAGATAGATAGATAGATAGATAGATAGATAGATAGATAGATAGATAGATAGATAAATAGATAGATAGATAGATAGATAGATTGATAGATAGATAGATAGATAGATAGATAGATAGATAGATAGATAGATAGATAGATAGATAGATAGATAGATAGATAGATAGATAGATAGATAGATAGATAGATAGATAGATAGATAGATAGATAGATAGATAGATAGATAGATAGATAGATAGATAGATAGATAGATAGATAGATAGATAGATAGATAGATAGATAGATAGATAGATAGATAGATAGATAGATAGATAAATAGATAGATAGACAGACAGATAGATAAAAAGATAAATAGAAAGAAAGAAAGAAAGATAGATAGATAGATAGATAGATAGATAGATAGATAGATAGATAGATAGATAGATAGATAGATAGATAGA